GGAGAAATGGATCACAAAGTACGAGAAAATCAGGCCGAAGGAGAGTCAGCAGCACGTGACAACATGGTTTTTATTCACTTTGTAAATAATTATATCTACTTTACTTGTTTGTACCTGAATGAGTTTGTTAGCATCTATGAAAACAAAACAAAACTATTTTTTACGATAGCGTATTTGTTTTTGTTTTTTTACTATAATTTGAATTGTTTCTTACTTATCACATGATAATAATGTTATGAGGGAAATAAAAGTTGGTTTTAATGATGTATCTATTTTATCGACCTCTGGTTTTATAACTCAGCACTTGAGATAATATAAAAGGAGAGATCAACTTGTCAATTTGAAAAGAGTGTCCTTCGCTTGGCGGGTAATAGAACGAAGTTCAGCGACAGACTGTTTTCAGCTCCCTATTTTCAGTGTGTTCATCAATATCGTACGCATCCCTCAGACGGCCGCCATCTTGTTTTTCATATGGGGCGGAAAACCCGCCGCTGTTGTCTCTAAAGATTCGGTAGTCTCGCCGTTATGGCGACCTCTTTAAGCTGCGTATGATCTCGGCAAACACAATGCAATGTTTTCTTACAACTTGTTTTGTGACAGAAGTTGCACGCGACCATAGAACACCGCTGCCATGCTGGTGTTACTGAACAATGTGAGATGGGAGATGTTTACGTCAACAGGCTCATTTCCTAAAGGAGACAAAGATTGCTTGGAAACGGCAATATAGTCAGCTTGACATCATTCGAAAACTCTCAGTGCAATTGGTTACAGCAACGTGGCTTCTCAAACTCAATAGATAATAATCATGACTGACGGTGTTTGGACATCTGATCTTAACTAGCATAGATTTTTACGATTTTATTTGTCTGTTTTCTGATTTGGTTTAGTTTCGAGTGAGAAGATATATCAAACACTTGAAAGACCGTGTTTGAACACAATTCCGAACACCTTGAAGTTCGTCAAAAGTACTCCGTCACGCGTCGTATTTTTAACATTCTTTTCGTTGTTTGGAAACGTTGTCAAACACGGTCTTTCGTGTTTGTATATTACATCAAATTAACATGTCTCAACCAGGAAAGCGAAATTTTGGGTACTAATTATTGTCACTTGTCCTATAAACTTGCATTTTTATATTAGATCTTTCGTTATTTTTCCTCTGTTTCCTTTCTGAATGTTCAAATTCATACGCTAAACTCTCGCAGACAGGAATTATCTTGGATTGCTCCGTTTGATATTCCCATAGAAATAATAACCAGACCGAACTTTTCAAGTTCCTTGTCATGAAATGGCATCAGTCGCTGACTATAACGTATATTACAGATAAATGCATATAACGTGTCATTAGCGAGCTCCAATAGGTTATTAGCTAAATAATACGTTAAGGGTTTCAGTGAATTCAGACGAGATCTCGAGTGGTTCACATCATATAGTCAACTGTACGAATGATAAAGCGATACCGACGGTTGCTCCAAACAGTCCAGCAAACCAGATAAACTGCGAGACAATGGGACACGTGTCATTCCTCTGTACCCTAATCAATGATTGACATCTTGATGTCATGGCAACGGAAAGAAAGCCATTTGTAAAAGCCAGCACGAAGTAAAAACCCATCATAAACACATTGTGGTAAACCAAGAACGGCGTGCGTGTGAAAAAAACTGCAGCGAGGACAAAGCCGAGGCGAAGAATCGAGGCTGACAAATAAACGAACATTGCTACGTCATTGTTAACTGTTTGCTGTCCACTACAGCAGCGGCTTGATAGAATTCTTCCGAAAATGTCTCCGACTCTGAAAAGAGCGATTAAAACTGTAGCGAGGTAGACTTTCCAAAATGGCACAGTGCTTGAGTGTGAGCTTTGTAAAGTTGCTTCATGAATGAACGCTGCAAGCGACAACACAAAGTAACTGACGAGAGACAATGAGAACTCTACGACTAAATACCATTTAATAGTGTGATATCGTCTTTTCGCTGTTTCTGGTACAGAACCCAGTGTTATGTTCTTTGGACTGTGAGCAATGCAGTCTCGCCCAGCAAATAATGCGTATATTCCAGATTTACTGAGTTTGATAAGTGAAACGAATCCGATTACGATTCCAAGAAACACAACGCCGAACAAGACGTTAAGGCATAGTGTGTTGTATTCAGTCAGTTGTGGTTCGGTCGAGTGCAGACCCATTGACAGAATAAGAATGATTTGGACCATTGCTGGAAAGAGCGAGCCAATACCTAAGGAGAAAAATTCATTTAAGGTTAGTGGGGAAAGTACTCGTTTGTAAGTTTCACTGTATGATTCTCAAACACCGAGAGCTTTCAGTGAGTTGAAGAGAGGCGCGAGTTTTACCTCTTTTATGCGTGACAAATGACAAATTGACAAATCTAACTGACTAAAAGGAAACATTTGAACTGGCAAGTGACATTTACAACTCAGCCTTATTCAAACAAGGAAGTTGATCAATCAATTTAATCACCGTGTGTCAACGTTAGTCAGAAGAACTCTGTTTCAACAGGCAATAGATGCTCTTCTTTTCTAATTAGTTATATTATTTTAGTGATTATACTTGTCATTCAAATTGCTAAACACAAACACAAAACACGTATCACTCACATTCACCGCAGCGTATCAGCAAACTGCTTTTTCCTCCCGGAAATAGCACAACCATTCGACTGACTAGTGATTGACTGAGACCAGCACAAAGTCCATTAACGATTATCACACCATATATGGGAAAGATGGACAGCGTTAAGCCAGCTGCCGCAAAGGAAGGGAGGACGGCGACAGAAACGGCCATCAAAACGAAGCAGATCGGAACGGTGGGGAGGAATGGAACCCAGTGTTTTTTACCGCAGAATATTAGCAACAGGGAGACAAGAAATGGAACATGGTAGCAAATTCCTGTGGAGATAAAAACGGTAAAATGTGTCTTGAAATGGTTTCACACACTACGAATTATATAACTTGTGGTTCGCGTGTAGTTTATTTGTGATTTGAGGCTTTCACGACGAACACTACAGATAGTAAATAGGCTTCAATTGTTAGCTCACACCAAATAATTCTAAGCATGCTAATAAACGAGAAGGAAAATTTCTAAATTTTAAACGGTTTGTTCATGCTGAACTATGTGAATTTTTTTTTTTTTTTTTTTTTCATGCTTTCATTCTTTTTTTTAGGTAGTGTGGAAACTCAGCTTCAAATTTGATATAAATTTCTAGGTAACCTCGATTTTTTTTTCTGCCTCAACAACAGGCCACGGTCGATATATCAATATTCTAACATGGCTCCGAGGCTTTCAGGACAAACTTCTATATTTGGTGGTGTTTTCTTTGTATCCAAGTATCCTTTGGGAATTGAAAGACGAATGAATTTTTAAAAAAAAATTGCAATTTTGACCCGAAAACCTCGGATCGATGTTAGAATATTGATATATCGAACGTGGCCTACAGGGGTGACACTCTGAATATCATTTCCTCTTTTATTTTCCATATTATTTTGTAGTCTTCATTTCCCGAAATTTATCTGTGGTTTTGTGTTTTATTTGCTCTTTGACCACACAGATATGTGCTGCAAATGATAGAAATTAATGCAACATCAAGACATGTGCAATATTCAATACAATGAAAATGCTGACTAATAGTTCAGATTAAATGCAGAAAATGTCAGTGGCTTATCGAATTAAAGTGATGACTATCTCATTATTGATATTTTGGGCTGCGCCAAATAATACATTAAAGTGCGCTTTACAAAGAGTTTGGTTAAACAACAAATAAATGTAAATAATGGCAAAAGGCTTAGCCGTCACTCAAAGAAAACTCTTTTTTACAATTATTTAAACAAAATGAAGAAAGAAAGATGATCTGCTTTGTCTTTTGGGTCACTTTTCATGTCGATATTATCATACGATATTAAATGTTGTTGAATTCGGTTGTTTGCACGGACAGCAGGTGTTCAGCCGTCACTTTTCGAACTGCTTTTTAACGAAAGTTTTCGAGAAATAAAAAGAGCCAAGTATTGCGCCCGGCGCGAAAAATTTTTATGTAAATCAGATCTTAAAGGGTGAAGGAGTTTATACACATTTCCTCTCAATTCTCTCAAAGTTCGAAACGACAGTTGAATATGTTGGCTTCATTATTTAAGTTATGAGCATTACGGGTCGAAAGAAATTTTTAACCTGTTCAATAACAGTTTTCCAGGGAGGAAAAAATATTAAGGAAATAAAAACTACCTTAGCAAGGGTCTACAAAGTTAATAGTGCTATAAATGATTCTTAATCCACCTACCTATTTCGGACAAACTCCGCTTTCCTAGGATTGGAAGGAAAAACGCAGTGCTGATATAGAAAGCGTTCACTGCCAAAACGGGCACCGCACCAACGAAGAACAAGTAAACTTTTTGCATTGTAGAAAAATGAACATATGTCGGCAGTCTCTTGTGTGGAGTCAGGGAAATCCGAGAAATCGTGTCCTTAAAAGAGTCTCTCATAATTAAGTCATCGGAGCTCAAATTCAAATGAGAGGGAAGTTCTGAAATGCGCGTTGAACTCTCAGAAGTCCCGCTTCGGAAACTTCCATCGACACAGGCTTGTTCGGAGGGCTTCGGAAGCAGTTCAGGTTCTGATTCGTCAGTCGAAATATATTTAATTTCAGCTCCGTCGAAGAGAATATATCCAGTGTTTAACTTTCGAGGATTACTTGCCTTGGTTGAATCAGTGGCTTGCTTCGATGATTTCTGAAAGGTCACGGTATTCCGTCGCTCTAACTGCTCGACTTTATTTTGTAACCTCTTGTTAAATTGCACGTCCTCAATGTCGGTCGTCTCGTGACATCGTATGCTCTCGTCTAGACTGTTCAACGCGTCCAATTCCAGATCTGTCAGCGATGTAAAAGACAATTTCTTAAATTCTTCGTCGTAAGATGACCACTCAGTGTTTGGGTGTTGCTGCTGAAACTCCATTGCAGAAGGTGTGTTGTTTCTCAAGACCGGCGAAACTGTAACTTGGACAGATTTTCCATTAATGAAAGGTGATATGGTTGGCAAATCTCAAAAACATTGGTCGTTGCCAGCGGGAGCAAGTGTGGCCAAAAGAGTAATAAAATATTACAACTGAGGTCTGAAAAAGACTTGACTTTACATGACAATGTCATCTTTTGTACATCAGTTGACTGACAACAACAGTGATGTTAAATAAAATTTGAATACCCTGCCGCTGATGTTTAACAACAAGATGCGAACTACCATTCAACTCTTTTCAAGAAAACAGACTTCCTTTCTGAATCCCCAGTTATTTTGAATCTGTGTTTCCTAATTGGTACACAATGTTAGTCATAACACCGAGTTACTCACGCGTTTTAGCACGTTCTAAAGCGAATACTTGCGTTACGTTTACACATCATTAATGTAAATTATGTCCCTTCGCTTACTTAACAATTAAAGTTATTGTTTTCAATTGAATTCCGCGGTTACAGAATATTTTGAAGCTAAAAACCGTGTAATGCAGGTTGAATTGAACACATTAAACATCTTTTAAGATATTATACACTGATTATATCTAGATTGTCAATTAGCATAAGAACTTATTTCTTGATCTGGTCTTATTATATTGAGCGGATTAAACTTGCCGTAAAACAAACTTTTCATCTCCCAGTTGATAACCTGATAACAAGGTTCCATATTGATATTATTTTAACTTGTTGATGACGCAAACCACGAGAGGGTGATAAGTGGTCACGAAGCTTACGGGTAAAATACGGCCTCGCTCAAAAGACAGTAAAAGTCATTTATGATCTTTGTTTGGCAATAGTTTTAAAACACCGACAAGAAAGGAGATAACAGAAACAACTGCTCAGGGCAGCTGTTTCGACCTTCATAGCCGAGCGAAGCTGGTGCCCAGGAAGGCCACATTCTCGTTCCCAAGGTTTCTTATCTTCCCGCCCTCCTCTCTCGCTCCAGCCCGGGAGGGCAGAAAAGTGAGAGGCCCTGGGAACGAGGTTGGTAAGGCCAGTGGGAATAGGTTCGTACCCAGTTCCACTTTTAGCTCGATGTTGCCGAGAGAGATCTGTGTAGGAGGGTAAAATGACATAACCATCCATGTCGCGCCACTACAACTAATTTTTTTTTTAAAAAAGTAATAAAGTGGTATTAGTATTTGTCTTTACAATGGGTATAGTCTCGTGCCCAGTTCCATTTCTAGCCGTGGGAGATCTGTGTACAAGGTTCAATGATGTAACAGTATAACCCATTCATAACACTGGAATTGCTTTATCTAAAGAACAAAGTGATGTTTGTCTTAAAATCTGTCAACTAAAAAATCTTTTTCATTTTAATTTATTGAGTAGTTTTTTTTCCTTTGATTTATTGCGATGTTGTACCTCTCTCCTCCACTGAACTTCAGAAGGATAACGAGACTGGAACGACGAAAATCAAAATTAAGGCGTGTTTTATTGATTAAGAGATTTTTTATTTCAACAAACACCTAGTAAAAACAAAGCTACTTTTTCAGGATTTCTTTGTTTACAGGAAAACTTAGCAATCTTTACTCATTCTATTTCGAAACTGATAACTTATGCTTGATTTTTCCAAAAAGTGGACACTTGTGCTATCTTACAAATCCTGAAATTCAATAAATTCTTTTCATTTGCTAAATCATGTTTACATTTTTAACTTAGACCCCTCCTGAGGTCAGTTCTGAATACGGAAAACAATTCAGCATTTGGTTCAATATTTTGCCAATGTGTACAGCAACGAAAATGAATTAAAAATCACAAAATTAGCTTCAAGATATGGCTAAAAACAGTGGCTTCTGTGGTAAAAAAAACCTCACAGTTCTCGGTGAATTTATTTACTTAGGTACCAGTTGTAAATACAAACTGATTCAAAGGCAAAGACTAGCGACTTACTAACAATTATCTCACATTGATACACGGAAATTCTTTAACTCTTCCTATTTAGGTGGATACGTTATAATCCTCCATGCTGCTGTATTTAGCGAACCAGGCGTCTCGCTTGTTATGCGGGCATAGATCCCTGTAGAACTTCAGTCCAGTGACCTGGATGTACCCAACAATGAGTTGGGAGTCACGGTCTTCCAGAACGAAACCTACAATGCAATTTTGAAGGAATGTCTTAAAAAAATACTGAATTATACCTATATAGTCGGCTCATAATTGATCTCAATTTTCTGGGTGAAATTAGAAGGCTTTTACCGATTCTGGCATTTTTATGTTCCTAGCGGTGCTTGGTTTTTTTCTTTTTGGTTTTTTTTTTTGGTTTTTTCGGTCAGAAAGATGTTTGCATTGTTTTATTGATCTAACTTGATCTGAAACTGATATAATATTCTTGGCATTTCGTTTTTCTGTGTTCTTATATTTAACAAGCAAGGTACAAGCTGGTACATTAACAGTGTCTTTATGTAATCAGAAAGGGTGTCTTCCTCTAACCTGGCTGACGCCATCTTGTTTTGACGAGAACCTGGACTGGGCACGGACCTAGAGAAACTTCCGGTAGGTCCCAGACTTCCTCAAAACTAAACGAAAACTTGAGGCTCGTAAAAAATTAGGCGTTCATTTCCTTTGAGTAGCAGGTTTGATACACATCGATATGCAAAACATTTCACATTCCGCTAAAATATATGCACTAAAATTTGCAGTATAGACTATAATTAGCCTGCCCAACCCTACAATAGCAAACGCGGAGGTTAACTTCGGTCCAAGACGATTATTACACTCCACACTGCTTTACATGTTTTGCCGCTCAGTACACCGCAGCTAATCACGATGTTTCGATTTTTCCAAAGCACAAATACTCTTACCTATCTTGTCGCTAATAATAACGACTGTAAACAACTAAAAATTGTTACAAATTCGAAGGCAAAACTGCCCTTCCTTTACAAGAGATAAATGCCTTACTCAAAAGGAATTCTGTCAATTTGCTTTCTTATAACTTCTACGCGAGACGTAGAGATCTCGTCTTTTGAACTGACTTAAAAGGATACTTTAACATGTCTGGAGTTGAACTAACCGTGTGTCTGTTCGTCGAGAACCAAACAGACATGGCATCCGTCATCGTCGCTTCTTGACTGCGGGCTGTTGGTGAGGTTGTACTGGCTCGCAAACCCGATTATGGCTTCTAGGGCTTCAAGGCGAGCCTCGGCGCTTCTTGCTGTTACACAATTCTTGACAGCAAAACCAACTCTTGGTTCCTTTGGATGGTAGAGAATAGCGGTGAACGGTGGAGACGGGATCGCCGAGGGACCAACTGTACTTGTCCTCGCCTCTGTTCTACGGTAATTTCTGACAGCTGCAACCTCTTTCTTGAAATACGTCTTGAAAGGATACTGTCGAACATTTTCCACGTAACTGCTGTGCGTGGCATCATCACACGCTCTCCATTCTTTGTTAACGTAATGTGCCAAGAACCAGTGTGGAGTTTTACGTTTCCTCCTATCATATATACGGAGATAGACTTCCACGTCTACACAGAGATGAGCATGAGTCTTCTTCTTGTCAGTTCCCCAGTTACCACAATGGAGAGACAGAATAGCCGACTGTTGCAGATCAGTATAGTAGGAGACCATCGCCATTGCCTCCTTGACTATCTTACGCTTTGCCCCTGGGGCTTTGGAGCCAGAACTATTGCGAGGCACAATGATGAAATGCGGTCGAGGAGTGTAGTAGTCAAAGACTACCTTGAATGTCTCGAATCTCTCACTTGCGGGCAAGAGATCAAACGGTTCCCTCTTTTTCTTTGGTCGTTTATGTTCATTTAAGTAAAAGGGCCTCTTTCCTCTGGATGCACACATGTTTTCAGAAACAAGGCAAGGAATGTGAAAGATAGGGTTAAATTAAAAGACTTGATGGTTATGATTACGAAACATTTCACTCGGTCTTCAAATCCAGTATCTCGGTCCGCACCGTGATGGTCTTCCTAAGTCAACCAATCACATAACTTCTTTACATCCAAGCGTCAAGGCAAGGCGTACACGTCAATCAAGTTTGCCTTCCTTATGAGTATACAATGTTTTCCCGGAAAAATCTCGTTTCTAGGAATAACCCATTTATTTATAAGTTTGCCCCTGATTGGACATCGTGCCTGCTTTACAATGAGCGTCATTGTCGGAATTGAGCTGTACCAGCGCGCATACTCTAAACAAACATCGTAGAGCAACTTATTTTCCTGCTTATTCTGTAGTAAAACGTAGGAAGATGCATTTCGTCACGTTTTGTTCTCCTCAAGGTGAATATGAAAGCTTACGGATTTGATGTTACTAATCCATAGTTCAGTTTCTTTAATACAAATTTTATACCATCATATGAATCATTCATTATTAAACAGGTTTTCATTTTCACCATGACTCATAGTTTATTAATCTGATTTGTTTTGTAACCAGGGCTTTTTAAGGCAACATCAGAGTAGAAGCTAGCACAAATGGCTTTCAAGGGATTCCCTTGTGCATTGAATCACTTGCAGCAACCGCAGCAGAAAGAACTAACCCTTAAAATACAAATAATCCTAAGCAAAACGTAGCTGTGCATTATGTTTGAAGTATTAGCGGTGATGCAAACCTTACAGTTGTTCCTTTTATGGCGGGATTGAAAACGATTCAGGCTGTTGTAGAACACGGTATTATCCACAGCTAGACATTAAAATGTGTCTCTCACGTTTGTACATGCTTACGACTGAGCTTGGGAGAGATACGTCTGGAAGATACTATTCATAGAGAGATCCTTATAGCAGTGTGGTAGAGAATTTCAAGAGCGTAATTTTGAAAACATTCTCTTTGATTTTTGCCAAATCAGGTGCCTACGTTAGAATTATAATTACAGCTATTTCATGTGAGATGGGAGTACATTATACCAAGATGTTAAATATAAATCCATTATCTACCACTAGAAACGTCAGACCATACCACCAGCAAAACATCTTACCTGCACGGGAGTAATGCTGTATTCCTGCGAAGATATAAACGGAATTTCATGCACATATCTACCGCTGCTCAGTTTACCTTTGCATTGTGCTGCATTTCCTTCCATCACTACATTCCTCATATCTACCTCGGGAAAAAGAGGTCGCTGGTATTCAACCAAGAAAACTCCATCCAAAATTGGAGCAATGTCTCAATCATGAAATCTTGATGCACACATTTATTATCAATAATTCCATTACAGAATCAGAGAAACTAAGCTCGTGTGTACTTTACTATAAGTGCACTTTACAGTTTTCATGTCTACATTGGGAGTCTTTAATCTGACTGTCTTCACAGACTCGTGTTTTCTTCATAGTGACTATAGTAACTGGTTTCCAAGTTATTCGGCTAGGTCCCTTTGTTTTAGATTGTTTGTGAATTCAATCAGTGAAATCCTAAAAAGAAAGCTATCAATGGTTAAACGCAAACTCAGGTAATTACAACTGCTTCTTAGACTGTAGTAGGCTAAACGAAACAAAGAACTATAAACGGATTCTTAACGATTAAACGTCTGAAGACCTAAGATGGAAGATTCAGGTATACACTTTGTAATCCTCCATACTGCTAAATTTATCGAACCAGTCGTCTCGCTTGTCATGTGGGCAGAGATCCCTGTAGAACTTCAGTTCAGTGATTTGAATATATCCAACTAGGAACTGAGAGTCTTCCTGAATGAAACCTGCAATGTTGAATTAAGTGCCATGAAGAAAAAACACAGCGATTTATTGAGACTGTTTCCACAAAATATACTTACTCTAACACGGAAATTATGCAGGGATACGGGATCTCGAAGAAAAGTTCGCTACAAGAGTGTTTTAGTCTGAGTTAGGGTGATTCAACCGTTGATGGCCAATATCTCAGGAGATTCCCCGGTTCTACTTTGAAGCCAACATTAGAAGTTTTCGGCAAAACGTTACTTTAGCTCAAGTTACGAACAGTCCAAAAGCCAGTTTTGTAAAGCTTTCTTTCTCTGCGTTCCAGTGGATTTGAGCCCACGTTGTTCAAGCTGCCTATTTTTTATCGCAAAGTTTGTTGAAAGCCAGAAAACAAGTAATTGAACGACTAAGAATTTCGCCCAAAACCGGAAAAGAGAAACAAAACTTAGAAAACAGAGGAATAGAGAGTTTGATTAAGATTCTATGTGTCACCGGTGTTCATACAGTCGCCATGAGTTGAGTGACTAACGGAGAAACTTTCAAAAACCTTTGCATAGGAGTCGTCAGAAAAGTTATTCAGATACATACTTTTAAAACTTAACTTATTCGAGTCCAACAATCGTTTTCAGGATGTTAGTCAAGGTAACGCTGAAAAATTGCTTTACTGTTTTGAACACAAACACTCTTACTGTGATTACCATAGGAATCGATATGCTAGTATGATGACTGCCGAGAGCTAGGGAAGGCCCTGGCGATTGCTACAGTTGCCAGTTAAAAAGACGTACAAAATTTATCCTTATTCTATATTACCTTTTGTTTATTGGACATGATTCTGTTACCTATCTTTAATGTTAATGGGGTGAATACTACGGCCGAAAACAATTAGAGTGGACAGTGAACTCGTGGACAGTCGCTCTCTCCTATCAAGAAAAACCGAAAAAAAGAAATGCCTCACTCGGTTGAACCAGTCTTGCTCCTGTTTCTACGTTAAAAGTAAATATTCAGCATTTGAAACTGAAATTAAAAACTCGATAATGTTCAAGGCTTAAATAAACTTTTTAAAAGTTAAGTACTAAACAAGATTTGAACTAACCATGCGACTTTTCGTCGAGGACCAAACACACGTGGCAGCCATTGTCATCTCCCTTCACGCTCATGTCCGTCAGCTTGTTTTGACTTGCAAACTTGACTATGGCTTCTAGGGCTTCAAGGAAAGACTCGGCGCTTTTCGGTGTCGCCGATTTGTCCACAGGAAAGCCACCCCGCGTTTCTGATGGATGATAGAGAATAGCAGTGAACGGTGAAGCCGGGGTAAGAGTCGCTTCAGCTGTAGTTGGCTTTGATTAACGGTACTCTCTAACAGCTTCAACCTCTTCCTTGAAATACGTTTGTTTAGGATACTGTTTAACATTTTTCTTGTAATTTCTAGGGTCTTTGCTCGCCTTCCATTGTTTAGTCACGTACTCTCGCGATGGCTAATTTGGAATTTCTCTTGTTTTCCTCTCGTAAGCACTGAGATATTTGTTCAAGTCAGAACAAACATGAGCGTGGAACATGTTCTTTGTAGTTATCCAGGAGCCCAAATGGAGGGACAAAATAGCGTAGTTTTCAAGATGATAGTGAGACACCATAGCCATTGCTGTCTTTACCACCTTCAGTCTTGCTCCTGGCTCCAACGAGTTGTAATCAGTTCCAGGTTTAGACTTATCACGCAGTAAAATTATAAAATGCGCCCGTGGAGTAAAGTAGTCGAATTCCACTTTAAATAAGTCGCATTTATTGTTGGCGGGCATCAAATCAAATGGTTTCTTTTCTTCTTGCCGTCGTTCGTGTTCATCTGGGCGCTTCTTTGCTCTGTAATAAGACATGTTTTTTAAACGCAGTTAGCTCAAGGAATCAAAGAAATAGGCCAAAAAAATACTTGATAATTATAGCATGGCAAGAAAACTTCGAAACCAGTGTCTCGCTCAATACCCCGCATAACGCTCCTGAATCAACCAATCAACTAACGCCTTTACCTGTGGGTGTCAAGGAAACCCTAGCAAGTCAGCCAAATGCCATTGTTCTCTGTGTGTGGAACGCTTTCCCGGAAAAAGAAACTGAAATCTTTTCTAGGAATTACCGACTCGTTTACCCGTCCATTCTACTGCTGATCTGTCGCTGAAGAATTGATATTGCTGCGGCTGAGAATAAAGCGTAAAAGTTGTCACTCAACTTCACGTTATTAAGCTGCACTGGAAGTTCCTTTATATCCATACGTTGAAAATTATTTCTTTCAGGTAAGGAATACATTATGTTTCTTTGATGTCGATTTCCGAGAAAGACCTTTGTGGGTCATTCAGCAGCTGTTTGTCACAGTTTGGATCATAAACTATTTTTATATTATCCCACCTGTCTCTAAAGTTTCACTTCCGCTCTATGATTGGCCGGCCACACATGGACGTCAATCAACTTTCACTTTTTTGAGTGGGTGTAATGTTTTCCCGGATACCTATTTCCCAGAAAGGCCTTTTCTGGGAAATGAAGTATAACTTCCGGGCTACAGTTGTGTACAAAGTCCTGAGGGACAATCGTGGCCCGGAAGTGAAATTTTAATTCCCAGAAAACGTGACGCCTCCGGGAATTAACAGTAGCCGTATACTACAAATATTCGAATGTTTTTTGGCATATTTAAAAGTTTCCGAGATATTCAGAAAATATTAAGATAAGTTATTTCACGACATTTAGAAATGTATATTCACAGCTTTCTTTGGCTGAGCCGCGTTATCCTCGCCATTTTTTCGAAACAATACTCAGTTTCTATACCAGAAACAACCCAGTTCAGCGATTTTCCACTTGAAAAATGTATTCTAATAATTTCGTTTCAAGCCGGTAACATGGAATCGTCTGAATCTTCTTCCTCTGTTCCCTTCAATACTACAATAAAAATTTGGCCTTAGTGATCCAAAAATCGGTTCATTTTTAAAACATTTAGAGGGCTTTTCTAGATATTTTGTGATATTTAGAAATTTTTTGAGAGGTCCAGAAAAGATATTTTGGCGATTTTACGTGATTTTTTTTATTACTGTTATTTTACGTGATATTTGTGGAAAGGCCTAACGTATGGCTCATATTGTGGTAAAATTACAGGCTTTTCCGCGAATTGATATTAATTTAATCAAACAACGTATCTAACATCACCTGCAGAAATTATATTCTGCTGGACATGTTTGACATCGGAAGATTTTCGTGTACGAGCCAAAAATTGCGGTCAAATAAAATCGAAATTGTTTAATTGCCCCTAACCCCTAATTCTTTTCTCAGCCGTCTGGAAAATTCTTCTGTTGTTGATCACATTAGTGAAAAAATTATACTCATGCGATTTTTCCTCAATTTTCTGTGAATTTTCAAAATTCGGAAAATACGTGTCACTTTGGTTCTCCACCGCGTTTTAAGGGGATTGAGTCGAGTTTTTTTAACAAAACCTTTTTTCTAGAATGCCTAATAAATGTGTTGCTGCGAATTGCAGTAATGCCGCAGATGCTTGTAAGCGCATCTTTATAGACACTATACCTTTCTTTGGTGATTCTTGACCCAAGGCGATCATCAAACGAAGAAAGAAATGGGTTGATTTTATCAAAGCCAAACAAGCCAAATGGAAACCAACAAAGTATAGCCATTTTTATGCTATACGTAAGTCCCTGGGAGTGTACTTTAGAAAGTTTTATACTGGGAGGTGCCGCCCGGAGGTCCAATCGCTTACCCTTTTGTTTACCATTTTGACTGAAAAGCTACTCCTTTCGTATACCTTTAATTGAAGAAAGCACTCCTTTTCACATATGTATTTAAGAACAGTGCATCGTATTTCTAAACCTTTACAATGAAGTTTTTGAACACTATTACGGGAAAACATCAAGCATAACCAGAGGAGATGTTAACCAAAGCACTATACCCTTACAAAAACAAAATATGTAGAGAGAAAAGATTAAAGAGCGTAAGCTGACTCAGTCAAAGATAAAAAGAGATTAGTCCAAAAGAAGCAGTAAACTGCAGAAATGAATTGTAAGACACCGGTATATTTTTGCTCGAGTTTAAAGTAGCCTGAGTTAGGTATTTCGCGCCTTTGATATACCATTGTGGCATGCCACAGGTACAGACTTTTAACTGTCCATTCTGTAGAGGTTGTGTTTATATAATTTTGTTTCTTCTGCTATAATGATGTAACTAGCAAGTTTCAGGGACTCGCGCAATGAAAACCTCCTGGCGCCAACCAGGAGCCCATGACCTCTTGGCTCCTACTCATCTTGCGTGTGGGTCAGTAATACACACGCGTCATATTTATTTCTTTCTGGTAATGAGGGTTTGGCTGTACTGCGTTAACATTTTAGCAGTTTTCTATTGCTTGTCATTATTAGCTACATTCTTGGCAGTTCCACAAGATAACACCAGCTGATTTGTGGAAATAGAACGAATAAAATAGTTGGGTTACAAGGCTAATAGCTGTCCTTCCCCCCACCCAACCCCCAACTACACCCCGTACTGCTCTCCAGCCATTCCAGGTCTCCATCCAGTGCTTAGGGATATGAACATGTTGATGGATACAAAACTGCTATTTTGGTTGTGCACACATCTTTACTGTTTAACTGACTTATTTCTTTAATTTTATTTATCTTATTTCTTTTTTCCGGTAACATGGGAGCAAATTAACGAACAGTGACTCGCAAGAATGGCGATTTGAGGCCTGGTTACTAATACTATGTCGATTTCGCTTGGAGCGCCAGGAAACCATATTAACTCAACTCCTTCGATTTTCTTCGCGTTTTGAGCTTCCTCCAACAAAACTACTGTACAATTAATGTGACAATCAACACTTAAGTTCATATCTGGAGAAGCATTAGTACTCACATTGGAACCTCAGTAAACTGATTCAGAATTTAATCATGTAGTTGGTATAGTGTAATCGTCCGGGTGAGGGTAGTTCGATAGAAACACGGTACATGTTTTCTATTTCCTAAATACAAACTGATCCAGAGGCAAGGAATAGCGACTTACTAACAATTATAGTCCTCTCACGTTGATACATGGATATCCTTAATACTCTCCTTATTTAGGTGTATACGTTATAATCCCTCATGCTGCTGTATTGAGCGAACCAGTCATCTCGCTTGTCATGTGGGCAGAGATCCCTGTAGAACTTCAGTCCGGTGACCTGGATGTACCCAACAAGGTACTGAGAGGCGGCAACATTGAATCCTGCAATTTCGAAGAAATGCAATAAAAAAACACTGAATTATACCTATATAGTCGGCTCATAATCGACTTCAGTTTTCTGGGTGAAATTAGAAGGCTTTTACCGATTCTGGCATTCTATGTTCCTAGCGGTGCTTTTTTGTTTTTTCGGTCACAATGATGTTAGAATTGTTTTATTCATCTACCTTGATCTAAAACTGATTCAATTTTCTTAGCACTTCGCTTTTCTGTGTTCTTGTATTTAACATACGATAAAAGATTTGGCTCGTACGAAATCGTCCCGACAAGCTGGTACATTAACAGTGTCTTTATGTAATCAGAAAAGGTGTCTGGCTGACGCCATCTTGTTTTGACGAGAACCTGGACTGGGCACGAACCTAGAAAAACTTCCGGTGGGTCCCAGACTTCCTCAAAACTAAACGAAAACTTGAGGCTCGTGAAATGAGGCGTTTATATGCTTTGAGCAGCAGGCTTGAAACACATCAGTACGCAAAAAATTTCACTTTCCGCTCAAAATATGTACTAAAATTTGAGGTATAGACTATAATTAGCCTGTCCAACCCTACAATAGCAAACGCGGAGGTTAACTTCGGTCCAAGACGATTATTACACTCCTCACTGCTTTACATGTTTTGCCGCTGAGTACACCGCAGCTAATCACGATGTTTCGTTTTGCTATAGCACAAATAGTTCTACCTATCTTGTCACTAATAAGAACGGCTCAAAACAGCTAAATATCGTTACAAGTTCGAGGGGAAAACTGCCCTCCCCTTACTAGAGATAAATGCCCTACTCAAAAGGAATTCTGTCAATTTGCTTGCTTCTAACTGCTATGCGAGACGTAAAGATCTCATCTTTGGATCTGACTTAAAGGGATACTCTAACATGTCTAGAATTGAACTAACCGTGTGTCTTTTCGTCGAGAACCAAACACACATGGCATCCGTCATCCTCACTTCTTGCGTGGATGTTCGTGAGGTTGTACTGGCTGGCAAATCCGATTATGGCTTCTTGGGCTTTGAGGCGAGCCTCGGCGCTTCTTGCCGTTGCATCATTCTTGACAGCAAAGCCAACCCTTGGTTCTGAATGATGGAAGAGAATGGCGGTGAACGGCGGAGATGGGATTGCCAGGGAACCAATTGTATTCGTCCTTGCCTCCGTTCGACGGTAATTTCTGACAGCTTCAACCTCATCCTTGAAATATGTTTTGAAAGGATACTGTCGAACATTTTTCACGTAACAGCTGTGCGTGGGTTCCTTGCACGCCCTCCATTCTTTTGTAACGGACCTTACCGAGGGCCAGTTGGGAACTTCATGCTTTCTCTTATCATATATACTGAGATAATCCTCCACGTCTACACAGAGATGAACATGGAACTTGTCCTTGTCAGTTCCCCATTTACCAAAATGGAGAGACAAAGTAGCGGACATTTGCAGGTCATAGTGAGAAACCATTACCATTGCTGCCTTGACTATCTTAAGCTTTGCTCCCGGAGCTAAGGAGTTATAATTAGTTATAGACTTTCTGTCGCGGGGCACGATGATAAAATGCGCTCGAGGAGAGTAGTAGTCGAAAACCACCTTGAATGTGTCGCATTTCGCATTTGAAGGCAAGAGATCAAATGTTTCCCCTTTTGCGTTTAGTTGGTCATGTTCATCTAAGTGAAAGGGCTTCTTCCCTCTTTGTGCAGACATTTTTGCAGAAATTAGGCAAGAGATGGGAAATACAGGGCAAAATAAAAAGACTTGATGGTTTTAATTGCGAAACAATTCACTCGGTCTTCAAATCTAGTATCACGGCCCTTTCCGTGATTGATCCTTCTAAATCAACCAATCACATAACTTCATTACGTCCAAGCGTCAAGGCAACGAATACACGTCAATCAAGTTTCCCTTCCTTATGTGTATACAATGTTTTCCCGGAAAAATCTGATTTCTAGGAATTATCCAAGGTATTTATAGACTTACCCGTGATTGGACACTGTCCCTGCTTTTCAATGAGCGTCACTGTCGAAATTAAGCTATACCAGCGCGCATGCTCTAAGCAAACATTGCAGAGCAACTTATTTTCCTGCTAATTCTGCAGTCAAACGCAGGAAGATGCATTTCGTCGTGTTTTGCCTCTGATCTCGTCAAAGTGAAAATGAGGGCTCATAGATTTGATGCTATTACCCCAGATACTACTTCAGTTTCTCTGATACAAGTTTCATACCATCACATGAATCATTCATTAACAAACAGGTTTTCCTTTTCACCCATGACTCATAGTTTATTGATCTAAAATTTTTGGTCGGGTTTTTCAAGGCAACATAAGAGGCAAAGCTTGCACAAATGGCTTTCAAGGGATTCCCTTGTGCATTGAAGCACCTCCTGAATGAATGAATGGCAACTTTATATAAGTCTCAGTCTTAATAGCTGAGCACAAGTGCTTTACTAATTGGGCAGACTAAAATATGCAACAGCAGCAGAAAGAACTAGCCCTTAAAATACAACTAATCCTACGCAAAATGTACTTGTGCGTTATTTTCGAAGTATTAGCGGTGATACAAACCTGACAGTTTTTCCTTCTATAGCAGGATTGAAAGCGATTCAGGCTATTGTACAGCACGGCATTATCCACAGTTAGACATTAAAATGTGTCTCTCACGTTTATACATGGATTGTTTACGACTGAGCTAGAGAGAGATAGGTCTGGAAGATGCCATAGGGAGATCTTTATAGCAGTGTGGTAGAAAATTTCAAGAGCGTAATTTTGAAAACTTTCTCTTTGATTTTTGCTAAATCAGGTGGCTACGTTAGAATTATAATTACAGCTGTTTCATGTGAGATGGGAGTACATTATACCAAGGTGTTAAATATAAATCCATTATCTACCACTAGAAACGTCGGACCATACCACCAGCAAAACATCTTACCTGCACGGGAGAAATGCTGTATTCCTGCGAAGATATTAACGGAATTTCATGCACATATGCACATATCTACCGCTGCATTTCCTTCCATCACTACATTCCTCATATCTACCTCGGGAAAGAGAGGTCGCTGATATTCAACCAAGAAAACTCCATCCAAAATTGGGGCGATGTCTTAATCATGAAATCTTGATGTACACATTTATTATCAATAATTCCATCACGGAATCAGAGAAACTAAGCTCATGCGTGTACTTTACTATAAGTGCACTTTACATTTTTCATGTCTACATTGGGAGTCTTTAATCTGTTTTCAAAGACTCGTGTTTTCTTCATAGTGACTATAGTAACTGGTTTCCAAGTTATTCGGCTAGGTCCCTTTATTTTAGATTGTTTGTGAATTCAATCAGTGAAGTCCTAAAAAGAAGGCTATCAAATGGTTAAACGCAAACTCAGATAATTACAACAGCTTCTTAGACTAAACTAGGCTAAACAAAACAAAGAACTATAACGAGTCTCTTAACGATTAAACGTCTGAAGACCTAAGATGGAAGATTCAGGTATACACTTTGTAATCCTCCATACTGAGGTCATTCAGCAGCTGTTTGTCACAGTTTGGATCATAAACTATTTTTATATTATCCCACCTGTCTCTAAAGTTTCACTTCCGCTCTATGATTGGCCGGCCACACATGGACGTCAATCAACTTTCACTTTTTTGAGTGGGTGTAATGTTTTCCCGGATACCTATTTCCCAGAAAGGCCTTTTCTGGGAAATGAAGTATAACTTCCGGGCTACAGTTGTGTACAAAGTCCTGAGGGACAATCGTGGCCCGGAAGTGAAATTTTAATTCCCAGAAAACGTGACGCCTCCGGGAATTAACAGTAGCCGTATACTACAAATATTCGAATGTTTTTTGGCATATTTAAAAGTTTCCGAGATATTCAGAAAATATTAAGATAAGTTATTTCACGACATTTAGAAATGTATATTCACAGCTTTCTTTGGCTGAGCCGCGTTATCCTCGCCATTTTTTCGAAACAATACTCAGTTTCTATACCAGAAACAACCCAGTTCAGCGATTTTCCACTTGAAAAATGTATTCTAATAATTTCGTTTCAAGCCGGTAACATGGAATCGTCTGAATCTTCTTCCTCTGTTCCCTTCAATACTACAATAAAAATTTGGCCTTAGTGATCCAAAAATCGGTTCATTTTTAAAACATTTAGAGGGCTTTTCTAGATATTTTGTGATATTTAGAAATTTTTTGAGAGGTCCAGAAAAGATATTTTGGCGATTTTACGTGATTTTTTTTATTACTGTTATTTTACGTGATATTTGTGGAAAGGCCTAACGTATGGCTCATATTGTGGTAAAATTACAGGCTTTTCCGCGAATTGATATTAATTTAATCAAACAACGTATCTAACATCACCTGCAGAAATTATATTCTGCTGGACATGTTTGACATCGGAAGATTTTCGTGTACGAGCCAAAAATTGCGGTCAAATAAAATCGAAATTGTTTAATTGCCCCTAACCCCTAATTCTTTTCTCAGCCGTCTGGAAAATTCTTCTGTTGTTGATCACATTAGTGAAAAAATTATACTCATGCGATTTTTCCTCAATTTTCTGTGAATTTTCAAAATTCGGAAAATACGTGTCACTTTGGTTCTCCACCGCGTTTTAAGGGGATTGAGTCGAGTTTTTTTAACAAAACCTTTTTTCTAGAATGCCTAATAAATGTGTTGCTGCGAATTGCAGTAATGCCGCAGATGCTTGTAAGCGCATCTTTATAGACACTATACCTTTCTTTGGTGATTCTTGACCCAAGGCGATCATCAAACGAAGAAAGAAATGGGTTGATTTTATCAAAGCCAAACAAGCCAAATGGAAACCAACAAAGTATAGCCATTTTTATGCTATACGTAAGTCCCTGGGAGTGTACTTTAGAAAGTTTTATACTGGGAGGTGCCGCCCGGAGGTCCAATCGCTTACCCTTTTGTTTACCATTTTGACTGAAAAGCTACTCCTTTCGTATACCTTTAATTGAAGAAAGCACTCCTTTTCACATATGTATTTAAGAACAGTGCATCGTATTTCTAAACCTTTACAATGAAGTTTTTGAACACTATTACGGGAAAACATCAAGCATAACCAGAGGAGATGTTAACCAAAGCACTATACCCTTACAAAAACAAAATATGTAGAGAGAAAAGATTAAAGAGCGTAAGCTGACTCAGTCAAAGATAAAAAGAGATTAGTCCAAAAGAAGCAGTAAACTGCAGAAATGAATTGTAAGACACCGGTATATTTTTGCTCGAGTTTAAAGTAGCCTGAGTTAGGTATTTCGCGCCTTTGATATACCATTGTGGCATGCCACAGGTACAGACTTTTAACTGTCCATTCTGTAGAGGTTGTGTTTATATAATTTTGTTTCTTCTGCTATAATGATGTAACTAACAAGTTTCAGGGACTCGCGCAATGAAAACCTCCTGGCGCCAACCAGGAGCCCATGACCTCTTGGCTCCTACTCATCTTGCGTGTGGGTCAGTAATACACACGCGTCATATTTATTTCTTTCTGGTAATGAGGGTTTGGCTGTACTGCGTTAACATTTTAGCAGTTTTCTATTGCTTGTCATTATTAGCTACATTCTTGGCAGTTCCACAAGATAACACCAGCTGATTTGTGGAAATAGAACGAATAAAATAGTTGGGTTACAAGGCTAATAGCTGTCCTTCCCCCCACCCAACCCCCAACTACACCCCGTACTGCTCTCCAGCCATTCCAGGTCTCCATCCAGTGCTTAGGGATATGAACATGTTGATGGATACAAAACTGCTATTTTGGTTGTGCACACATCTTTACTGTTTAACTGACTTATTTCTTTAATTTTATTTATCTTATTTCTTTTTTCCGGTAACATGGGAGCAAATTAACGAACAGTGACTCGCAAGAATGGCGATTTGAGGCCTGGTTACTAATACTATGTCGATTTCGCTTGGAGCGCCAGGAAACCATATTAACTCAACTCCTTCGATTTTCTTCGCGTTTTGAGCTTCCTCCAACAAAACTACTGTACAATTAATGTGACAATCAACACTTAAGTTCATATCTGGAGAAGCATTAGTACTCACATTGGAACCTCAGTAAACTGATTCAGAATTTAATCATGTAGTTGGTATAGTGTAATCGTCCGGGTGAGGGTAGTTCGATAGAAACACGGTACATGTTTTCTATTTCCTAAATACAAACTGATCCAGAGGCAAGGAATAGCGACTTACTAACAATTATAGTCCTCTCACGTTGATACATGGATATCCTTAATACTCTCCTTATTTAGGTGTATACGTTATAATCCCTCATGCTGCTGTATTGAGCGAACCAGTCATCTCGCTTGTCATGTGGGCAGAGATCCCTGTAGAACTTCAGTCCGGTGACCTGGATGTACCCAACAAGGTACTGAGAGGCGGCAACATTGAATCCTGCAATTTCGAAGAAATGCAATAAAAAAACACTGAATTATACCTATATAGTCGGCTCATAATCGACTTCAGTTTTCTGGGTGAAATTAGAAGGCTTTTACCGATTCTGGCATTCTATGTTCCTAGCGGTGCTTTTTTGTTTTTTCGGTCACAATGATGTTAGAATTGTTTTATTCATCTACCTTGATCTAAAACTGATTCAATTTTCTTAGCACTTCGCTTTTCTGTGTTCTTGTATTTAACATACGATAAAAGATTTGGCTCGTACGAAATCGTCCCGACAAGCTGGTACATTAACAGTGTCTTTATGTAATCAGAAAAGGTGTCTGGCTGACGCCATCTTGTTTTGACGAGAACCTGGACTGGGCACGAACCTAGAAAAACTTCCGGTGGGTCCCAGACTTCCTCAAAACTAAACGAAAACTTGAGGCTCGTGAAATGAGGCGTTTATATGCTTTGAGCAGCAGGCTTGAAACACATCAGTACGCAAAAAATTTCACTTTCCGCTCAAAATATGTACTAAAATTTGAGGTATAGACTATAATTAGCCTGTCCAACCCTACAATAGCAAACGCGGAGGTTAACTTCGGTCCAAGACGATTATTACACTCCTCACTGCTTTACATGTTTTGCCGCTGAGTACACCGCAGCTAATCACGATGTTTCGTTTTGCTATAGCACAAATAGTTCTACCTATCTTGTCACTAATAAGAACGGCTCAAAACAGCTAAATATCGTTACAAGTTCGAGGGGAAAACTGCCCTCCCCTTACTAGAGATAAATGCCCTACTCAAAAGGAATTCTGTCAATTTGCTTGCTTCTAACTGCTATGCGAGACGTAAAGATCTCATCTTTGGATCTGACTTAAAGGGATACTCTAACATGTCTAGAATTGAACTAACCGTGTGTCTTTTCGTCGAGAACCAAACACACATGGCATCCGTCATCCTCACTTCTTGCGTGGATGTTCGTGAGGTTGTACTGGCTGGCAAATCCGATTATGGCTTCTTGGGCTTTGAGGCGAGCCTCGGCGCTTCTTGCCGTTGCATCATTCTTGACAGCAAAGCCAACCCTTGGTTCTGAATGATGGAAGAGAATGGCGGTGAACGGCGGAGATGGGATTGCCAGGGAACCAATTGTATTCGTCCTTGCCTCCGTTCGACGGTAATTTCTGACAGCTTCAACCTCATCCTTGAAATATGTTTTGAAAGGATACTGTCGAACATTTTTCACGTAACAGCTGTGCGTGGGTTCCTTGCACGCCCTCCATTCTTTTGTAACGGACCTTACCGAGGGCCAGTTGGGAACTTCATGCTTTCTCTTATCATATATACTGAGATAATCCTCCACGTCTACACAGAGATGAACATGGAACTTGTCCTTGTCAGTTCCCCATTTACCAAAATGGAGAGACAAAGTAGCGGACATTTGCAGGTCATAGTGAGAAACCATTACCATTGCTGCCTTGACTATCTTAAGCTTTGCTCCCGGAGCTAAGGAGTTATAATTAGTTATAGACTTTCTGTCGCGGGGCACGATGATAAAATGCGCTCGAGGAGAGTAGTAGTCGAAAACCACCTTGAATGTGTCGCATTTCGCATTTGAAGGCAAGAGATCAAATGTTTCCCCTTTTGCGTTTAGTTGGTCATGTTCATCTAAGTGAAAGGGCTTCTTCCCTCTTTGTGCAGACATTTTTGCAGAAATTAGGCAAGAGATGGGAAATACAGGGCAAAATAAAAAGACTTGATGGTTTTAATTGCGAAACAATTCACTCGGTCTTCAAATCTAGTATCACGGCCCTTTCCGTGATTGATCCTTCTAAATCAACCAATCACATAACTTCATTACGTCCAAGCGTCAAGGCAACGAATACACGTCAATCAAGTTTCCCTTCCTTATGTGTATACAATGTTTTCCCGGAAAAATCTGATTTCTAGGAATTATCCAAGGTATTTATAGACTTACCCGTGATTGGACACTGTCCCTGCTTTTCAATGAGCGTCACTGTCGAAATTAAGCTATACCAGCGCGCATGCTCTAAGCAAACATTGCAGAGCAACTTATTTTCCTGCTAATTCTGCAGTCAAACGCAGGAAGATGCATTTCGTCGTGTTTTGCCTCTGATCTCGTCAAAGTGAAAATGAGGGCTCATAGATTTGATGCTATTACCCCAGATACTACTTCAGTTTCTCTGATACAAGTTTCATACCATCACATGAATCATTCATTAACAAACAGGTTTTCCTTTTCACCCATGACTCATAGTTTATTGATCTAAAATTTTTGGTCGGGTTTTTCAAGGCAACATAAGAGGCAAAGCTTGCACAAATGGCTTTCAAGGGATTCCCTTGTGCATTGAAGCACCTCCTGAATGAATGAATGGCAACTTTATATAAGTCTCAGTCTTAATAGCTGAGCACAAGTGCTTTACTAATTGGGCAGACTAAAATATGCAACAGCAGCAGAAAGAACTAGCCCTTAAAATACAACTAATCCTACGCAAAATGTACTTGTGCGTTATTTTCGAAGTATTAGCGGTGATACAAACCTGACAGTTTTTCCTTCTATAGCAGGATTGAAAGCGATTCAGGCTATTGTACAGCACGGCATTATCCACAGTTAGACATTAAAATGTGTCTCTCACGTTTATACATGGATTGTTTACGACTGAGCTAGAGAGAGATAGGTCTGGAAGATGCCATAGGGAGATCTTTATAGCAGTGTGGTAGAAAATTTCAAGAGCGTAATTTTGAAAACTTTCTCTTTGATTTTTGCTAAATCAGGTGGCTACGTTAGAATTATAATTACAGCTGTTTCATGTGAGATGGGAGTACATTATACCAAGGTGTTAAATATAAATCCATTATCTACCACTAGAAACGTCGGACCATACCACCAGCAAAACATCTTACCTGCACGGGAGAAATGCTGTATTCCTGCGAAGATATTAACGGAATTTCATGCACATATGCACATATCTACCGCTGCATTTCCTTCCATCACTACATTCCTCATATCTACCTCGGGAAAGAGAGGTCGCTGATATTCAACCAAGAAAACTCCATCCAAAATTGGGGCGATGTCTTAATCATGAAATCTTGATGTACACATTTATTATCAATAATTCCATCACGGAATCAGAGAAACTAAGCTCATGCGTGTACTTTACTATAAGTGCACTTTACATTTTTCATGTCTACATTGGGAGTCTTTAATCTGTTTTCAAAGACTCGTGTTTTCTTCATAGTGACTATAGTAACTGGTTTCCAAGTTATTCGGCTAGGTCCCTTTATTTTAGATTGTTTGTGAATTCAATCAGTGAAGTCCTAAAAAGAAGGCTATCAAATGGTTAAACGCAAACTCAGATAATTACAACAGCTTCTTAGACTAAACTAGGCTAAACAAAACAAAGAACTATAACGAGTCTCTTAACGATTAAACGTCTGAAGACCTAAGATGGAAGATTCAGGTATACACTTTGTAATCCTCCATACTGCTAAATTTATCGAACCAGTCATCTCGTTTGTCATGTGGGCAGAGATCTCTGTAGAACTTCAGTCCAGTGATTTGAATATATCCAACTAGGAACTGAGAGTCTTCCAGAATGAAACCTGCAATGTTGAATTAAGTGCCATGAAGAAAAAAAAGCAGCGATTTATTCAGACTGTTTCGACAAAATATACTTATTCTAACACGGAAATTACGCAGGGATACGGGATCTCGAAGAAGAGTTCGCTACAAGAGTGTTTTAGTCTGAGTTAAGGTGATTCAACTGTTGATGGCCAATATCTCAGGAGATTTGCCGGTTCTACTTTGAAGCCAACATTAGAAGTTTGCAAAACGTTACTTTAGCTCAAGTTACGAACAGTCCAAAAGCCAGTTTTGTAAAGCTTTCTTTCTCTGCGTTCCAGTGGATTTGAGCCCACGTTGTTCAAGCTGCCTATTTTTTATCGCAAAGTTTGTTGAAAGCCAGAAAACAAGTAATTGAACGACTAAGAATTCCGCCCAAAACCGGAAAAGAGAAGCAAAACTTAGAAAACAGAGGAATAGAGAGTTTGATTAAGATTCTATGTGTCACCGGTGTTCATGCAGTCGCCATGAGTTGAGTGACTAACGGAGAAACTTTCAAAAAACCTTGCATAGGAGTCGTCAGAAAAGTTATTCAGATACATACTCTTAAAACTTAACTTAGACGAGTCCAACAATCGTTTTCATGATGTTAGTCAAGGTAACGTTGAAAAATTGCTTTACTGTTTTGAACACAAACACTCTTACTGTGATTCCTATAGGAATCGATATGCTGGTATGATGACCGCCGAGAGCTAGGGAAGGCCCTGGCGATTGCTACAGTTGCCAGTTAAAAAGACGTACAAAATTTATCCTTATTCTATATTACCTTTTGTTTATCGGACATGATTCTTTACCTATCTTTAATCAGTGTTAATGGCGTGAATACTACGGCCGAAAACAATTAGAGTGGACAGTGAACTCGTGGACAGTCGCTCTCTCCTATCAAGAAAAACCGAAAAAAAGAAATACCTCACTCGGTTGAACCAGTCTTGCTCCTGTTTCTACGTTAAACGTAAATATTCAGAATTTGAAACTGAAATTAAAAACTAGATAATGTTCAAGGCTTAAATAAACTTTTTTAAAAGTTAAGTACTTAACAAGATTTGAACTAACCATGCGACTTTTCGTCGAGGACCAAACACACATGGCATCCATTGTCATCTCCCTTCACGCTCATGTCCGTCAGCTTGTTTTGACTTGCAAACTTGACTATGGCTTCTTGGGCTTCAAGGAAAGACTCGGCGCTTTTCGGTTTCGCGGATTTCTCGACAGCAAAGCCAACCCGTGGTTCTGATGGATGATAGAGAATAGCGGTGAACGGGGGAGACGGGGTAAATGTCGCTTCGGCTGTATTTGGCTTTGATCGACGGTACTCTGTAACAGCTTCAACCTCTTCCTTGAAATACGTTCGGAGAGGATATTGTTGAACATTTATCGCGTAATTTCTAGGATCTTTGCTCGCCTTCCATTGTTTAGTCACGTACTCTCGCGATGGCCAATTGGGAATTTCTCTCTTTTTACTCTCGTAAACACTGAGATACTCGTTCACGTCAGAACAAACATGAGCGTGGAACATGTTCTTTGTAGTTATCCAGGAGCCAAAATGGAGGGACAAAATAGCGTGGTTTTCAAGATGATAGTGAGACACCATAGCCATTGCTGTCTTTACCACCTTCAGTCTTGCTCCTGGCTCCAGCGAGTTGTAATCAGTTCCAGGTTTAGACTTATCGCGAGGCAAAATGATAAAATGCGCTCGAGGAGTGTAGTAGTCGAAGGCCACTTTAAATGTGTCGCATTTCTCGTTGGGGGGCATCAAATCAAATGGTTTCTTTTCTTCTTGCCGTCGTTCGTGTTCATCTGAGCGAGGTCGCTTCCAGTGTCCTCGTTCACGTTCATCTGACCATGGGCGCTTCTTTGCTCTATAATCAGACATGTTTTTTAAACGCAATTAGCTCAAGGAATGATAGAAATATAGGGCAAAAAAATACTTGATAATTACAGCAAGGCAAGAAAACTTCGAAACCAGCGTCTCGGTCAATACCCTGCATGATGCTCCCGAATCAACCAATCAAATAACACCTTTACCTGTTGGTGTCAAGGAAACCCTAGCACGTCAGCCAAATGCCATTGTTCTCTGTGAGTGGAACGCTTTCCCGGAAAAAGAAACTGAAATCTTTTCTAGGAATTACCGACTCGTGCTGATCTGTCGCTGAAGAATTGATATTGCTGCGGCTGAGAATAAAGCGTTACAGTTGTCACTCAACTTCATGTTATTAAGCTGCACTGGAAGTTCCTTTATATCCATACGTTGAAAATTATTTCTTTCAGGTAAGGAATACATTATGTTTTTTCGATGTCGATTTCCGAGAAAGACCTTTGTTGGTCATTCAGCAGCTGTTTGTCACAGTTTGGATCATAAACTATTTTAATATTGTCCCACCTGTCTCTAAAGTTTCACTTCCGCTCTATGATTGGCCGGCCACACATGGAAGTCAATCAACCTTCACTTTTCTGAGTGGCTGGAATGTTTTCCCGGAAACCTATTTTTCTGGGAACTGAAGTATGACTTCCGGGCTACAGTTGTGTACAAAGTCCTGAGGGACAATCGTGACCTGGAAGTGAAATTTCAATTCCCAGAAAAAGTGACGTTTCCGGGAATTAACAGTAGACGTATACTTTAAAGTCTTAAAGTTCCCGAAATATTCAGAAAATATTAAGATAAGTTATTTAGCGATATTTAGAGATATATATTCAGAGCTTTCTTAGACTGACCCATGTTTTCCCCGCTATTTCTTGAAACAGTACTCAGTTCTATACCAGAAACAACCCAGTTCAGCGATTTTCCACTTGAAAAATGTAGTCTAATAATTTCGTTTCAAGTCGGTAACATTGAATCGTCTGAATCTTCCTCCTCTGTTCCCTTCAATGCTACAATGAAATTTTTGCCTTAGTGATCCAAAATCGGTTCATTTTTTAAAACATTTAGAGGGCTTTTCGAGATATTTTGTGATATTTAGAAATTTTTTGAGAAGTCCAGAAAGATATTTGGCGATTTTACGTGAATTTTTTGTTACTATTATTTTACGTGATATTTGTGGAAAGGCCTAACATATAGCCCATATTGTGGTGAAATTGCAGGCTTTTCCGCGAATTGATATTAATTTAATCAAACAACGTATCTAACATCACCTGCAGAAATTATAGTCTGCTGAACATATTTGACATAGATTCCCAACTACGAGCCAAAAATGGCGGCTAATTGAAATCGAAATTGTATAAGTGCCCCTAACCCCCTAACTCTTGTCTTAGCCGTAAGGAAAATTCTGCTGTTTTTGATCACATTAGTGAAAAAGTTATAGTCGTACGATTTTTCCACAATTTTCTGTGAATTTTCAAAATCGGAACATCCGGTCACGTTGGTTCACCGCCGCGTTTCAAGGGGATTGGGTCGAGTTTTTTTACAAAACTTTGTTTTAGACTGCCTAATAAATGTATTGCTGCGAATTGCAGTAATGTCGCAGATCCTTGTAAGCGCATCTTTATAGACACCAAACGAAAGAAAGAAATTGGTTGATTTTGTCATCGCTAAATAAGCTAAATGGGAAGCAACAAAGTATAGTAATTTTTATACTATACGTAAGTCCCTGTGAGTGTACTTTAGAAAGTTTTATGCTGGGAGGTTCCGCCCGGAGGTCCAACCGCTTACCCTCTTGCTTACACGAAAAGCTACCCCTTTCGTAGTATACCTTTAATTGAAAAAAGTACTCCTTTCACATATGTATTTAAGAACAGTGCATCGTATTTCTAAACCTTCGCAATGAGGGTTTTGAACACTCTTATGGGAGAACATCAAGCATAACAAGAGGAGATGTTAACCAAAGTACTTTACCCTTACAAAAATCAAAAATGTAGAGCGTTAGCTGACTCAGCCGATGATAAAAAGAGATTAGTCCAAAGGAAACAGTGAAATGCAGAAATGAATTGTAAGACACCTGTATATTTTTGTTTGAGTTTTACGTAGTCTGAGATAGGTTTTTCGTGCCTTTGATATACCATTGTAGCATACCAGAGGTACAGACTGTTAACTGTCCATTCTGTAGAGGTAGTGTTTATATAATTTTGTTTCTTCTGCTATAATGATGTAACCTGCAAGTTTCAGGGACTCGCGCAATGAAAACCTCCTGGCGCCTACCAGGAGCCCATGACCTCTTGGCTCCTACTCATCTTGCGTGTGGGTCAGTAATACACACGCGTCATATTTACCTCTTTCTGGTAATGAAGGTTTGGCTTTACTACGTTAACATTTCAGTAGTTTTCTATTGTTTGTCATTATTAGGTACATTCTTGGCAGTTCCACAAAATAACACTAGGTGATTTGTGGAATAGAATGAATAAAATGGTTGGGTTACAAGACTAAAGCCCTGGCCAAACGGACTCGCAAGGAGTCGCAAGCAGCCGGAAGTTGAACTTGCGTAGAGAGTTGCGTTGGGTGGCTGAACGGACTCGCAAGTTTCCTCGCAAGTACCCGCAAGTCGCAATAAAAACCATTTCAAGTCAGAAATATCCTGTATTTCATTGGCTAATAATAGGTTAATGGACGTCTCTCAACTTACGTTGACTTGGGTTGAGTGGCCAAACGGTGAAAAACTTCCGTCGACCTGCGTGCAAATTTGATCTTGACCAAAGTGAGCGCAAGTCATCGCAAATCAAAGAAAGTGCACGCAAGGCCTGGCCAAACGGAGTCGCAAGTAGACCTAAGCTTTCAACTTGTGTCTACTTGCGACTCCGTTTGGCCAGGGCTTTCTCCCCCACCTCTCCCCGTACTGCTGTACAGCCATTCCAGGTCTCCATCCAGTGCTTAGGGATATGAGCATGTTAATGGATACGAAAATGCTTTTTTGGTTGTGCACAAATCTTTACTGTTTAACTGACTTGCTGTGTTTTCTTTCTTTTTTTTTTTTTTCTTCTTTTCTCCGGTAACATGGGAACAAATTAGCGAACAGTGACTCGCAAGAATGGTGATTTGAGGCCTGGTTACTAACCCCGAGACAATTTCGCTTGGAGCGCTAGGAAAGCACAATTTCTCAACTCCTTCGATTTTCTTCTCGTTTTGAGTTTCTTCCGACAAAACTACTGTACGATTGATGATGTGAGAATCAGCATTAAAGTTAATATCTGGAGAAGCATTAGTACTCAAATTGGAACCTCAGTAAACTGATTGAGAGCTTTAAATCCATTTTGAAATCACTGGTTATCCTTGCAATCTGATTG